AGTTAAAAATGTTGTTATTAACATGGAAAAAACCAATTTAACATACTTCTCTAACTGAGCGCTACACAATACCATTTTCAGGTCTTGGTCTTTCAGAAGAAACAGTACCTCTGTTCCTGAGTAATCATTTTAATGAGGCTAAATTGACTGCCCTGTCCAAAATACTTCATTGGATAGATCAGGCCCAGTATGATCAATAGAGATCAGAGTGGAGAGGAGCTGGTGTTTAGACCTTGACAGCCTGCCATGGTCTGAGAAATGCTTGTGGGACTGTGTCTCAAAGAGAGAATTTTCCTGATCTCTTGAATAATGAGCTTCGCCTCCCTGTAAGCTGGTTTAGATAATTTATCACTCGTGTAACTAACAGGTCATGTAAGTGGTTTTCATTTCATGAGCTGCTTTCTCACTGGGAAGCTGCTCCACCACCACCCGGCTCTCTACCTGCCGTGAGGTTTTTCAGAGCGCCCACACAATGTCGGTCTCCTTCTGGCACCTCCTGCAGTTTCCCCTACTTCGCTCCACTGTTTTCGTGACCTGCTTTGAGTCCTACCTTACAGAAATATTGGTATCAAAACAGGTCACCTTAAAAAGTGGATTAGAAGGTGTCGATTTCAGCACCTACCCACATGCCCTTGGCCTGCCATTCCCTCCCCCACAACTCTGGAGGGCTTTTGCCTCTAAGGTATATCACTATAGTGTCATGCTACCTATTTAAAAAAAAATGGCAAAAAGCCCTCTGGTGAAAGAATTGGAAGGGTGAATCTCACCATGGGGGTGCTCAGTGAGTTAACAACAAGCAAGGCTCTTTTTGTAGCAGGAACTCCTTTGCATATTAGGCCACACACCCCTAATGTAGCCAATCCTCCAAGAGCTTACAGAGCTCTTCTAACAGGAGCTACTGTAAACTCTTGGAGAATTGGCTACATTAGGGGTGTGTCGCTTAATATGCACATGAGTACCTGTAACAAAAAGAGCCCTGAAGGAATTGCTGTCAGGTGGAAACAGCCATAGTGTCATACTTGTGCAGGACCACAGCTCCTTCTTTGGCAAAAAGAAAATGACAAGGCGTGACTTTTTTCCTAGTGGCCAAACAGGTTGCAGTCCCTTTGAGGCCCTTTCTCCTATGTTACACTGCTCACGTATTTGGCGCCTGCACGATCGGCCAATCTTGAAAGTAAGCAAGCTAACATAATGTGGAATGGCTCCGAGTAAAACAGCATCGAAAGGAATCCTTCTAGGAAGGATTTTCACGTCTGTCGTATTGTAATGCCTTGGCCTGGATGGCCTGGGCTGGCCCAATCTTGTCAGATCTCAGAAGCTAGGCAGGGTCAGCTCTGGTTAGGACATGGATGGGAGACCAGCCAAAGAAGTCCAGGACTGCTGTGCAGAGCCAGGCAATGGCAAACCACTTTTGCTCTTCTCTTGCCTTTAAAACCCCATGAGGTCACCATAAGTCAAGTCAGCTGCAACTTGATGTCAATTGCCAGTACCTGGTGGTATTACCAGGGCTGTAAGACCATTGCAGGAAAAACATCAAAGAAGTGTAAATTGTTGACAGGATGTAATGCCACACACACACACAAAAGATTGATTGGTATGATACACGCCAATTCCCTTCTGACTTTAGAGAAGAAAGTAGTTTATGAAGAAAACACAATGGAGCTTTAAGAATAGATATATTAACAGAAGCTGGAGATGGATTTGGTCAAGAACCAAACAGATTAACATATGGAGCAGAGGGATAGATGGAACACTATGTCTGGGGCAGAGATGCTCTGTATTCTTGGTGCTTGGGGGGCAACAAGGAGGCTTCTGGAGTTCTAGCCCCACTGGTGGACTTCTGGTGGCACCTGGGTTTTGGCCACTGTGTGACACAGAGTGTTGGACTGTATGGGCCATTAGCCTGAACCAACATGGCTTCTCTTCAGTTCCTATGTTCTTAACCTTCTCTAGCCTAATATCATTGGACTTAAGGGAATTTTTTCAGAAATCCCAGTGATGTTTGACTCCATATCAATTAAGCTGTATGTATATCCAATGATTTAATATATCTTGCTGTGAGGGGTTGGAGCAGCTTTTCCACATATATTCTGGCAAGTTGCAATAACAGAAAATGTTTGGAAGGAGGTTTTGGAATTAGTTACAAACGTTACGGGACATAATCTTCCACAAGACCCTAGGGTCCTTTTATTGGGTCTTCTCAAAAGTCTAATTCATGAGGAGGATTTAGAAGTTATGTTGGATTTAATTACCTCAATTCATTATGCATACAGTCTCCTGTTGGAAGAAAATGTATCCCCTTCCTTTAGCAGACTGGTATAAAAGGATTTAGGATATCACATTGGTGTCAAAATTAACTCACTATAGATGAGTACCTACTAATTTGCAAGGAGATTTATTGAGATGTGGACAATGTTTGTAATGTGTTGTGATGTTACGAAATTGTACAGCCACTGCAGTGTCTTAAGATCATATTTTCATTGAATTTTTAGGACACGATTGTTATGGTACCGCTACATTAAAATGCATGTTCAAAATCATGTTATCTTTTATGTGGAGCTAAGCATTAGGAAAACACATATTGGAAAGCAAGGTTTTATGTTCTTACGTGCAAACTTAGCAGTTCTGTGGCCTTGTTCGTATGAACATAGCAGATGAGGTAGAGTTCATGCACACAATACAAAAGTCTTGTTGTGGCCACCACAAGGACTTTGGATTACACATTTGCTGGGTGTTCCATGTTTCCCTGAAGCTGTTTCAAGGCTTGATAATGGCACAAGTGGAAAAGCTGAAGCTGCTTCTGTGTGCTTGCTATGGTCCCAATCCAAGCCTGGCCCATGTACACCAGGGAAGTGCAGAACTCTCAGTGCACATGTGGTTCATAGCCCCATGTGGTAGCCACGAGGACTTTGCAATGTGTGATTCAGCCCACAGACTACAAGTAAGGTTATTAGTTGGATGAGTGTTTGTACTCCCACTGTGTTCAATGGAGAACACATCTTTTTATTTGTATGAAGAAACCGTCAATCCTGTGATTCACCTACAAATAGTCTGAAGTGGGATAGTCCACTTTACCGCCACCTCTGCGCCTGATAGCAAGCAGGCCTGGTGGATAGAGGTGAATGTCATCTAAATCTCACAATGGTTAAGAATGTCTTTTTAAGTTAATAATTAGCCATTATTCTCTAAGTGATCACTCCATGTGTTGTGTAACATTACTATATCACTTGATAAAATAAACAGCTGGCTACTCTGAGCTATAACGAACTCTCAAAATGCCCGGACATTTGGAGTGTGGGAGGGTGAAGGGTGTTTTAAAATGAGTTTCTTGTATAATGTCAACAGCGCAACACAGATTTAGGAACAGGTGCTAGAAGAGTCAAAATAGTGTTTTCTTAAGATGAGATATTTCAGTTGCAGAATTCTGTTTTAGTACTGAAAGGTGTTTTTTTTTTAAAATATCTATGGTCGTTGCCACATACTCCAAGGGCACCTGCGCCTAACAGGCAGGAATTAAACAGGTGAAGATTTTTCCAGTGCACTAATGCAGTTGGGTGGGGTAACATCTGGTGGATTTCTGCTTGGCCATACAGCTGTTAAAGGCATAGGAGCTTAACACACAAAATAGCAAGGTATTCCATATTGCACGTTAGTCTCTAATGTAGACTTTTCATTCACTTCTGTGGGAACTCTCGAACTCCAATCCTATGTTCATTTACCAAAATTTATTTCAAATAAACATGCACTGGATTTGACTATTATTATTTTTTTCTGTTCTGTGAATTTTATGTATTGTCATTTTATATGTTGTTATTCATACAGAATCTGGGGAAAGGGACTGGCTAAAAAAGTAAATAGAAAAATTAAACAACATGGAAAGGAGGACTATCTAGACTGAGACAATGTTCACATGTCTTAGATTTGGCTTATCTTAATTATACCAATCCAAAAATCCCCTTGAAAGCTTAAAACCTCGTATGTTTGCATGAAACATGACATTCTAATTGCGAAGTCATTGGATTGGCTGGTACTGCTGTGTGATCAAGAAACAACCAGCCTCCATCCAGCAAGATGTAGGTGCCTTATTGTGTACTGTTAAAAAGATTCAAAAATCCACTTGCATAAATTAGCGCTGGATTCTGCTGCGTGTAGGTAATGCAGCCTACCCATGAAAATGTAGGTGCAGATCAATGGGAACAGGATCCAGCTTTGGGATGGGGATAATTTAATACATCAGCCTACATGGCACAGTTGAATGTGACCCTTCCCATCCATCCCATGATGCTGATGGAAATGTGTATACTTGAATGCTGCCCAAGAGTCCAGCACATAATTGTTCTCTGCACATTCCTAGTCATGCCACAATACCTTGATGCCTGGTGCTACCACATGTCGAGGCCAAGACAGTCACATTTTCGAACTTACTTTTTTTTTAAGTAGCTATCCATCCCCATCCTTTGAGATCAGATGAATTAGAGGTGATCTCCCACAATGTGTTTTCTTCTGCTGCCTCAAATAGTAAAAAGTTTCAGAAGCACCAATACCCACATTGCAACTATTCACAGTTTTTAGCCTGACAAAAGCATGGTCAGCCTGTGGCCCATAATAATATTCTAGGTATTTGAAATGCAATAATTTTTTATTTATATATCTAATACATGCTGCTGTTCTGAAGCAAGGCATATTTCAATTTACAACACTTTCAAAAAGGTGTAGGACTCTCCATCGTCTTGTACGATGGAATAAAATAATTGTTTGTATACGAACAGGCATTTCCCTCCATTGAATTGCTTTGTTTTCTTCAAAAACAAAAAGTGGCTCAAAAGAAAATCTTATTAAAAGAAACATGGAAAAGTTAAGAGGACTCTGCAAAGACGTGAGAGGGTTAGCAAGTGTGTACAGCATGGGCAATCGGAAATCCACTTGAGCTGTTCAGCCAGGTCACTTGGTGAACGCATGGAAACTATTGATGTTCTGTTATTAAATTGTTCCTCAAATAGGGACGAATGCCAAGCATGGACTGCGCTGCAAGGCCTGTAAGCTGAGCATTCACCACAAATGCGCAGAGAGCACTGGACAGCAACGCTGTATGGGCAAACTGGTAAGCCGGCCACGTGTCACAAACTGAGCCAAATGCAGCCACAAACCAGGCCGAGCGAGGGATGACCCAGTAGGTCCCTTCCTAAGAGCCGTCTTTGTTTTGACTGATGGCATTCACAAACAAATCATGAGTTCTTTGTGAGGTAAATGTCTGAAATCCCTTCCTTTTTTTTGCCACGGGGATCCATAATTGAAGACTTCCTGCTTTAGGATACAGGGTTGCCAATTCTGGCTTGAGAAATTCCTGAAGATTTGTGGGAAGTTCCTGAGGAGGGCAGAGTTTGAGGACTGGATGGAGCTCAGTGAGGATGTGATGTCATACAGCCCACCCTCCGATGCTGCCATTTCCTCAAACAGGACTGGAGGTCTGGTGTAATTCTGGGAGAACTCCAGGCCCCACCTTGAAGTTGGTAGCCTACTTAGAAAGTGTTCAGTCTCCCACGATTTTAAAATGTGGTTGCTTTAACAAATTGGTGGTTGTTTTGGGGTTCACAAACTGAAATTATTTTTATTTTTTTTAAAAATTGTCTGCTTCATTCCATTAAAAGGTAGGCCCAGATTCCAACTAAGAGGCAAGAAGCAAACCCTAAGGATCAGTACCAGGAATCTTTTTCTGCGTTGCACAGGGCTTTTTTTGTAGAAAAGGTCCAGCAGGAACTCATTAGCATAATAGACCACACCCAGAAGCAGAAACTCATTAGCATATTAGGCCACACCCCTGACAGCACAGCTCATTAGCCCATTAGGCTGCACCCACATGTTACCAGAAGTGTGGTTATCCAGCCACACCCACCTTTTCCTTCTTATTCCGTTTACCTTGTTTGTTGTCAAAACCCAGGGCCTTTTTTTGTAGCAGGAACTCCTTTGCATGTTAGGCCACACACCCCTAATGTAGCCAATCCTAATGAGTTTCTGCTGTTGGGTGTGGCCTATTATGCTAATGAGTTCCTGCTGGGTGTGGCCAACTCGGGAGCCAGCCGGAACTCCGTTCCTGTGCATTCCTGCCCAAAAATAGCCCTGAGTCATTTCATAATTGCATTTGGGAAATAGAGACCACTGGGATTTTTTTAGTGGGCTGGTTAACAGGTTCCTCTCTCCAGGCATGTTTTGTAATAGCCATTGTGTGTACAGTTATTGTCTTAAAGTGCTTGAAATTCTGGTTGTTGTCTTTTGATGAATAATAGGAGTGGGTGTTGGGAGAGGATCCATTTCATCATCAATTTCTTATGAATTGAGAGGAGGGGATAGGAGGTCTTGTGCTATGGGGTCCTGTAGGGCAGGAAAGCTGCATAGAGCAGCCAGCCCAATTTCCAGAGTTGCTTACTATGTTCTGACCTGGTAAGAAGACTGGCAAATCCCTGGCCTGTTTCTTGGGGACCAAGAGCAGAGATGAAGCACCTGGTGTTAATCCAAGCAATCAGCTTTGCATAATTACAGCCTAATTGGCCAGGTCTTGTTTTCATTTCCTGTAGATTTTTAGACACCCTGGGATAAGATTTTTATTCTGTGAAGTTTTTAAAAATCATTTTGACATTCATTGTTGCTTGTTGCGTGAGGATTATTTTTAAAAACATCAAGGACAAAAAAACAATACAGTAACAAAGAACAGTGGTGGTTTAGTGTGGAGGAATGCTTTTTGCAAGCCCACTTTTGACACTTCTGCCCCCATTTCCACAAGCAGGATACGAATTATGCGAACACAAACAAGTGAGGCTAATGCAGGTACATGCCATGTGCAAACGGAACTACACCTTAGGACCTGAGCTAGAGAACCAAGAAGAAAGTATCACTGGAGTGGATCCTACCCCATCCCACCCTCCAGCGAGCAACATTTATGTATTTATTTATTTAAACGTTTATATGCCATCTTTCCTTTTGGCTCGCTTTGACGCCTTCCTGCAGTCTAAAGAGACTGTCTCCCAATTATGTGGCTCCTCCATCAGAGCAAGAGCCCCTGAAGGAAGCCTCCTTAGGCCAGAGGAAGGCTCCTCGGAGGAGGGTAAAAGCCACCCCATTGCATCCATTTTTTAATTTATTCAGCCCTGTTGGATGACATGCATGTCACATGTTCATGTTCTCCCCCTCCCCGTCTAGCCGAAGGGTTTTCGGCGTTACTACAGCTCTCCACTACTCATCCACGAGCAGTTTGGCTGCATCAAGGAAGTCATGCCTATTGGTAAGTGTAGATGGATTTTGTGTGTGTCCATGCATGTGTGTATGTGTTCCCCACATTGTGGCATCAAACAGTTCCACTTGGTAGCGATGCTTGCTTTCGGCAGAATTTGGACTGATTTCTGTAAAGAAGTAGCACTAAGGAAAGGAAGGCGAAGCTGTGAACTCCGCTGTGGGAGAGGACAGGCAGCTCAAGTTTAATCACGATCTGAAGAAAGAAGAATTTCAGCTTAATGCAGAAATGGTGAAGTGAGATTATGGGGCTGCTTCAGATGAAAAACTCGGGGCCCCATTGCAAGTGGTAGCAGGAGGACAGATAGAAGAGACCCATGGAGAAGCTTCCTGCTATCTCAGCAACAGCAGTTGTTGCCCCCACCCCCCGTGAATACACATCTAGAACTCCCAGCTAGAGAAAAGCTAGGGGGGGAGTGCGAAGGAAAAGTGGTGGCAGGGGAAGAGTTAAGCAACCCACCAGTTTTGCCCTCTCAAAATCATGCCTTTACCCAGAGGTCATTTCAGGGGGGAACGCGGGGGATCGCAGTTCTCCCTGGTGAGGCACGGGGGGCGGGGCACATGACGAAGCCCCGCCCCCCGCTTCCAGTTGCCCCGCTTCCGGCCCTCATTCAGCCAGGAGGAGGCAGGAGAAGAGGGAGGGTAAGTTGCTTCCTCCCTGCCTCTCCCCACCCCTGCCTGCCTGGGGCCAGGGAGGGCCTTCGCAGGGCTTCCTTGCACTCCCGCTGGCCTTGCAGGTCCACCGCCGGGCCCCTCATGGGACCCGGCAGTGGAGCTGCAAGGCCGACGGCAGCGGCCGGGACCGTTGGGGGCGGGGTGTGTGGCCTTATGACACACTTCCGGTGATGTCAGGGGGTGTGGCATATGCTAATGAATTATGCTAATGAGTTCCCCTAGCTCTTTTTCTACGAAACGACCCCTGCCTTTACCCAGTGCTTTTTCAGATGTCCATTATATAGACCAAGGCTCTCAGACCAGGCCCTCTGCTGAACATCTGTTTTGGTCCTCAGCTAAGGAAATAGAGCTGGTTTGAATCATGAAAAGTTGTTATGTTGTTTATTAGAGCAGAAGAGCACCTGCTGAGTATTCACCTTGATGTTTACTTGTGTTTCTGTCCTTTTTTTCTAGCTTGTGGCAATAAGGTTGACCCTGTCTATGAAACACTTCGCTTTGGAACTTCCTTGGCCCAGAAAACCAAGAAAGGCAGTTCTGGGAGTAGCTCTGATTCACCAAAGAGGAATTCTGTAACTATATTTTGTCTCTTCTCGTGATTTAAGCACTACTGCCTGATGTGGGTAGTGGTGGTGGTTGTCTTGCATACAATAATTTCTCTCTTCCCCTGCCAAATATATTAGACACACTTTTGAAATACAGATGGTGAGAGTATCAGACAAGGACTGATGAGACCAAAGTTCAAATCCTTACTTAACTATGAAGTTTACTGGTTTATTTATTGTTGATTATTTAGTATATTCAATTTATTATGGGTCTATATGACTGAAGTCTTGACCAAAAGAGAATGCAAAAGGGGTAAAATAGGTACATAAAATTGACATAAAATATGACAAGTACATAGTCATAATCAGTAAACATATAAAACCCAGGCATAGCCCAGAGAATAAAAAAGACCTAACTACACTTGGGGCTATTTAGCATATATTATTGATTAGTTAGAATATTTAGACTATTGCCGTGGTTGGCCTTGGACCAGCCATTCTCTTTCTCCCATCCAAACTTGCCTTCCTATCTATCTATCTATCTATCTATCTATCTATCTATCTATCTATCTATTTATTGGGTTTCTATCCCGCCCTCCCCACGAACGGGCTCAGGGCGGCTTACATTTAAAGGCACTATGTGCCTAGATTATTGTGAGGGTGAAATGATGCACAGGAGCTCCCTGTACACCTCCCTTGGGTTCCTTGAGTGAAGGGTGGAGAAGAATATAGCAGTTATAATGTAATATAGCTTACTATTCAAATCTCTGCACCGAAATTTAGGCTTTGTTTCGTTTGGGCTAAGGACCAAAATATTAAGCAAAAGCTATGTGAAAAAGGTGGGATTTGAGGAGCAAGCCAAAGAAGAATGCCACCCTATTGTTTTTTTCTGGGAGGGCATTCCAGATATAAGAGTAGACAAAATCGCTTAAGAGAGTAGGAGGCCTTCAAGCCGCTGAAAGAACTTGAGTCAGAGAAATACAAAATTCATATTATAAGGCTATGAAGTGAACTCCGTTCTGTGATAGAATCTGGCTGGTACGTGAAACAAAACAAAAAAGGCAGTCTTTTATATGACTGCGTGAGAGAGAAACAGAAATGGAGCAGATGGGGAATCCTATTTTATAGGTTTGATTTTAGAATATTGAAACTCCACAAGGCAAAACAGGGCCAGAACTATTTTCAATAATTATGGAGAAACCAGCCATTTCAAAACAGCTGAAATGCTTGCTTCTGCAAAATGGATTCCCTAGATGCAATACAGGTGGGGTTCTGCACTGTAACCAACACACCATCATGCTGTTACTTTCTGAGTCTGATATTATCCTTTCTTTCCCCTCAGTCTGTCTGCACCCTTAGTTCTTGACACTTTGGTATATCACACAGTTTCATGCAGATGCACACACATATACACACACATGCCTGCAGTTCTGAGGTGAGGACATAGCAGTGGTGGAGACCTGGCCTAGGGATGCCAGCCTCCAGGTGGGAGCTGGGGACCTCCCAGATTTACAGCTCATCTCCAGACTACAGCGATAAATTCCCCTGGAGAAAATGGATGCTTTGGAGGATGGACTCTATGGCATTGTACCCCACTGAGATCCCTGACCTCCCCAGGTTCCACCCACAAATCTCCAGGAGTTTCCCAACCTAAAGTGGCAAGCCTACCCCTCCCCCATCCCATGCCAGTGGCCAGGGAGGACCTTGCAATCCTCATTCCTGGCCTGTAGATTTCAAGTCCTTGCAGGACAAAGGCAAGATGTCCTTTTTGGGCCCCGTGTGCCACAGAATTCCTCCCTATGGAACAGACTTCTGTGGAAGCCTGCATACCCCTCCAGAAAAGGCCTGTTGTAGACTACTTCACTTATCTGATCAGTTTTGTATTTCCTGCATGGGGCATTAGCTCAGCGCAGGTTGCGGCTGATCCTTCCTTTTTTGGTTTGTTTCATTCTCCCAAAATCTCCACAAATGCAATTATCACTTGCCAAATCAGTAACATATTACGTTAAATAATGAACGATTACTCAAGCATACAAAACATGAACATATTGTCAGCTTGCCTTGAAATTCTGGTCAGATGGGTGGTGGGTGTAGGCACAGAATGCCAGTATGCCGTGGGATTTACTCCTTGGCGAGTCAGGCTGTCGTGTAACGGATTGCGCATAAAAGTTTATCGCTTAAGACCACAGTCTGTTTCGAAAAATATGCATGAATTTAAGATGACAGAGGATATAAGGTTGCAGGACTCGTGAGAGTTCAGGAAAACATCCCAAACCAGTGCTTTGTTATTTTGAAACATTACAATAATGCACACAATGGTATATTAAACTTTCCGCCAAACACCAGCTTATTCATTCCTGTATCTGCAGTTGTCCCAGATTAGTTCTAAGATTGTCTGGTCCAGGCTGCCACAAATGGGGCTTTCTTCCAGGTAAACAAGCATTGGATTGAGCCTTTCAACAGATTCAATATATCTTTCTTTCTGTAGGTCCATATCAGTATTCCCTCTAAGCTGAGTTAGTGTGAGCTACCTCACAGTTTTTTAGTCTCCAGCTGACACATTTTTGTCTTAGCTCAGGAAGGAGGGCTCCAGAGCAAAACTAACGTATGCAGTAGCCAAATCGCTCACTCACAACTTTAATGCCAGTAGTTCACAAAGTAGAATTTTTGTTCACAAGACTCTACAGCTTAGAGGGAGCATTGGTCCATATATAACATTTTCACCAGCCAGTAGCTAAGATTCCATCGCATCCTAGTGCAGGGGTCCTTGACCTTCTCAATCCTGCAGCCACAGGCTTGTTGGCACAAGCACAATATGGCTGCCACAGGAGGCGGAGCCAGAAACAAAACATCAGGGTGTGAGGTCATGCATGACTTTAATAGTAACTCTTTAACACTTCAGGCTGAAATGTTGCCTAAATGAACATATTGTTTAAAAATATTTTCTCACATGCACACAGCTTATATTAAGTCGTGTGGTGAAGATCCTTGTGCTGTGGAAGTAGTTGCTGCCCAAGCAATGTGTTTTTGAATCTGCACAGCTAATCAGATCTCCATTGGCCAGTTAGAAACCCTGTGGGTGAAAGCCCCACCTGACCCCTCCCACTTTCTAAAAACCCCTGGCGGACACCAGGAAAATTGTTGGTGGGTTCCATAGCTCCCACGGGCACCCCATTGGGGACCCCTGTCCTAGTGTGACCAGAAAACCAACTTGGATTGAGCTATGGAGATGAAGAGGTGGAGCTACCAGATAGGAACAGCCTTGATTCTCAAGGGATACGGTCATTGGGATCACAGACAGCATGTTCAGGCCACACACCGACATGCCTTTACTCTATCATATTTAAGTGAATGGAGGAAAATAAAGACCAGCCCGTCAATGGCAGTCGTGAAGTGAGAATGATATAATGCACTCCTCAATAGTGAGGGACCTGACCAGGGCTTTTTTTTAGTAAAAGCCCAGCAGGAACTCATTAGCATATTAGGCCACACCCCTGACAGTACAGCTCATTGGCCTATTAGGTCATACTCCCATGAGTTTCCTTGGCTTGCTTGGGCACCCCGTGGCTACGCGGAGCCTGGGCAAGCCCCCCCTTGAAGGGAAGGGAAGGGAAGGCAGTTTAAACAGGGAAACAGGGAAGTTGAAACTGCCTTCCCTTGGATTGCCCGGGTGCCCCGTGGCTGCGGAGAGCCTGGGCAAGCCGGCCCTTGGACAGGCCAGGGAAGGCACAGGGAGGCATTTAAATTTTGGCTGTAGTGGGCGTGGCCAACTCTAAAGCCAGCCGGAACTTCGTTCCTGTGCGTTCCTGCCCAAAAATAGCCCTGGACCTGACCCACGGTGCTGGAGGATACAATATGTGTCTGCACAGTGACTCAGAGAGCCTTCCAGGGGGCTTTGGAGTATACAGTCTTCCCTCCATGCATTCCCTCCCCCATCATGATGACAGTCATTGTATTCGTAGCTAAAGAATTCGTGTTCCGCTTGTTACTACCAGTTGCTGGGATTACGAACTGTAGCCTACCCTAATCAGATTCTAGAAATCAGCTGGAACACTAGCCCTTTCCTCTTTGTGTGCCCTAGCTTAAGCATCTCAGTTTCCAAATTCCATCGAGTGCTGTCTCATTGAGTTGTTTGAATAATTCCGCCTCTGGTTAGCACCTGATCATCAATGCTGGCACTTCAACCTGGTTCCCTCAGCACCGCCACCACACCAAGCTGCTGTCATGTGCATAAATCTCTGATACGTTTATTTCACCACCTTTCTCCCTTTCAC